ACAGAGAGTAGAAAGTAGATTTTTGAGCAGCCTTTCTCTTTGTACAGTTCCTCACATCACTGTCCACTACTGGCCACTGGTTTTGACCTGAGCGTTTGTGATCTGAGGACATCGCGGCTGCGCCTAGAGCTTAAGTGGAATGAGACCACTATTCAGATAAGTTCAGGTTTAGGCGCAAAAATATTTGTAAAGCTTTCGTGCGTGTACCATGGTAAACATTTTGCAAGGTTAATTATCACGGTCTAATAATTTTATTGTGCGGCAGTTTTGAATAATATCCTTTTTTCTTAAATTGCGCTCCGGTGCAACATATGTGTTCAGTTAATATTTTGTGTGTTTTTTTTAAAATCTTGTTTTATTTGGCTCTCTGTGTATAATTAATTAGGTTACGTCATTGCTCTTGGATTATTTTCTTTTGTGTGGGTTGTCAAGCAACAGAAGTTCAAACTAACATCTCGACGATTTGTTGCTTAATCCGTCTTAGGTGACTGGCGCTCTTAACCCCTCCACCCGTATTCTCCGCTTTATTGAGCTAGGACCTACATTTGCACGCCACTGATACTTAATAATAATGATAATAATATTTTTTACCCTCATTAAACAGTATATAAAAGTTTACAAACAAAGAGCCTTAAGAGAATAAAAGGCTACATCAGCTGGCCCCTTAAAGAAGCAGCTGCTAGAACAAAAAAAACAAACAAATTTAAACAATTCTATAATAACGCAAATAGCTATTAAGACATTGATAATTAAAATATCTTGATATTAAGAAATATAGCGAAGTATGGTGAGTAGAGAAATGGATGCTTAGAGTGAGAAGAGAAAGCGAGGAGAAAGAGAAGAAGAGAAAAGGGGGAGCAGGAGATATGTTTTCTATGATATCTGAGACAGTAAATCACTTTTAAGGTCCCTCTTAAATGTAGATACCGAGACATAAAAATCTTTAATTTTGAATTTATTTACCAAAAATGCAATTTGATATGAGAATGATTTCTTAAATGATTCTTTATTGTGTGATGGTATTGTAATCAAATTCAATCTTCTAATGTTTAGATTAAATACACCAGTTCGATAACTAGCTTTTAAGTGGAGATAAGGAGGGCTTTTATATTTTATAATCTTGTAAAAAAAGTGGAGTGCAAGGTACGCCTCTGAGCCATATTCATAGCCAGGTGGTGGGGTTGCAGTCTTTGTAAACAACCACTACAACTCTTCCATAATTTCATCTGGGCAAGACCCAAGTCTTGAATATATATGGTTGAAGGTGCAGCTTCCAAAACAAAAAATTGCTATTGGTATATTCTATCGGCCCCCACATAGCTCTGTTACAGAAGCCGGTAATACCTTTGATAACATGTTGCCTGCCATATTAGCTGAATATGATGATATCATCCTTGCAGGGGATATCAATGTTAATTTGCTTTTAGTTTGTAACAACTTGACTAAATGCCTTGATTCTTATAATCTGAAACAGGTGATCTCTGAACCGACTAGAATAACTGAATCGACACTCACTCTCTTAGATCCTATTTATTTGAGCAAGCCTGAAAGTTGTCTTAGGAGTGGCACTATTAATGCTGATATGATTACTGATCACTATTTAACCTTCTGTGATATACGTATTGCACTTCCTAAAAATCAACAGAAATTTGTTACATTCAGGGATTTCCATAGTTTAAATGAAATAGCGTTTGAACAAGATCTCAAGAGTTTTCCATGGTGGCATATTATATCGATAGATGACATTGAAGATAAAATTAACTTTTTAACAGATAGTATTTTATGCTTATTTAATGTTCACTGTCCAAAAAAGGTAGTGCGTGTAAACAAAGCTCCAGCTCCTTGGTTGGATGATAATATTAAACTTGTATTCAGGCAGAGGGCTGAAGCTTTGTCAAAGTTCAAACGTGATCGTACAGCCGCCTCTTGGCAACAGTATACATATTTCAGAAATCGTGCATTAACGCTCGTGCGAAGAGGAAAAAGAGATTATTTACAAGCTGTTCAAAATCAGGATATAAAAAAGTTTTATAAGACCCTAAAGACTTTCAAAGTACAATCTCAGAAAGATTCTGCAATTCCCGTGAGCTTGTCCGATCCGTATAAAATAAATGAGACATTCATTTCAATTTTCGAGAATAGTGATTTGGCTTGTGCTGATAAAATTGCATATTACCGAGCTAATAAAAATAACTCAAAATTCAAATTTCAATTTAATAAAGTGACTATTGACACCGTTGTTAAAATTATACCAAAAATAAAATCAAATTCTAGTGGTACAGATGAAATAACTTTGCATATGATACTACTATGTATACCTGAAATTGATGTCTACTTAACGCATATTATAAACTGCTGTTTAGAGAGGGGATATTTCCCCAATCAGTGGAAACGCGCTATAGTTATTCCGCTACCTAAGTGTTCTGATCCTACTAACTATGGTCAACTGAGACCGATCAGTCTACTGCCAATTTTCTCTAAAGTATTGGAACGCGTTGTTTACGAGCAGCTGTGCGCCTACTTATATTCTAACAAAATTATTCCCTCTAAACACTCTGGATTTCGACAAGGTCATAATACAGCTTCGGCACTCTGTGATTTAACAGACAATATAACAATGGCACTTGATAACCAAAAAGCAGTAGCTCTCATACTTCTTGACTTTACTAAAGCATTTGACACCATTAATCACTCGCTTCTTGTATCTAAATGCAGTTACTATGGATTTTCTGAAAAACCTCTTTCGTTTATTCAAACCTACCTTGAAAATCGGTATCAAAAAATTTGTTCTGGTGTACCACAGGGATCAGTCTTAGGACCGCTATTATTTTCATTATATATCTCAGATTTAGAAACAGAGGTAAAATCATGCAGCATACAATTTTTTGCAGATGATACTCAAATTTTCTATTCATTTAGGAGTAATGACTTAGAAACCGCAAATAATAAAATTAATAAAGATCTTGCCCAAATTGAAAAGTTCAGTAGTAGTCATAATCTTCGTTTGAACCCTTTGAACACAAATATGTTGGTATACGCAAATAGAACAAAAAAGAATACCTTAAAAAAGGACATAGACATACATTTAAAAGGTAATAAATTAATTCCTGTGGATCATTCGAAAAACCTAGGTATTATAATGGATGATGACTTAAAATTTGTTGCACACGTGAACTATCTAATTACTCAGTGCTACGCTATTCTCAGAGTTTTATTTGCAAATAAGACTATATTACATAAATCTGCGAGAAAGCAATTGTGTGAATATTTCGTATTTTCAAAGATATCGTATTGCTTAGTGGTTTACTATCCCTATTTAGATATTATAACAAGAAATCGTATTCAAAGTATTATGAATACATGTTGCAGGCTTGTAAATGATCTCAGAAAATACGATCATATATCGAATGCCATTAATGAACTCAAATGGATGAAAATTGATAAAATGTATAAGTACCAGCTCCTAAATCTGACTCATAAGGTTCTTTATTCAAAAACACCGTCATATTTAGTAAACAAATTCATACGTAGAGGGAGTATGCATCGTATTAATATTAGATATAGAGAGACTTTTTCAATTCCACGCCACAGCACGTCTCTATTTCAGAATTCATACATTTACAATGCGATCAAATCATATAATTCTTTAAACCGCAGTTTAAAAGAAACCAATCCATTATCTAAATTCAAGAAAAAAGTGAAAGAAGTTCTTCTTGATCAGCAGCGAAATCGGTTGTAACCCATAAGTGTCCTCATATTTTCCTTATGTATTTACTTGGATTATTCGTTATTGTATACAGGTGCCTATTAATTTTCAATAAATTCTTTTTTTTTTTTTACATCTCGAATTGTTAAGGGGGTTAGATGGTAGAATAGATATATAATCTAAATCTCGCCTCCTGTAAGAATATTACAAATAAAAGACGTTAATTAATTATTATTATTATTATTATTATATTCAACCATCCCAGTTTAGGTAGTTTGTGGGATACTCTTTGTCTACCCCTATGCCAAATATCAGTCTCTGACAAGAATTCTGAGCTTTTTAAACCCGTTTTAGTTCCACATTATCAAGAAATGGGCAACACTAAAGCTTCGCATAGCGTGGCTTTAGTATTTAGGTAATGTCTATGGGGGTAAATTATTTTTAACATTGAATATGCTTTTCTTAGGCACAGAGTAATGTGCTCTCTAAACTTAAGTTTAGAGTCAACCACTAAGCCCATATCCTTCACGGAATCCCCAAATGATATTATATTGTACCCTAGTTTGAGCTTAATATTTTGAGCTATTTGAGCTAATACGATTCTGTAGGGATCACTACAAAACAATATAGCCGTAGATTTACTAGGGTTTATCGATAACAAGTGATCTTCATGGTTTTGAGAAGGTATTCAGTCGGTTTGTTATAAGTTCTGACAGATCAGGTTTAAAAGAGGCATAAATTTGAGTGTCGTCAGCATAAAGATGATATTGACAATAACTTAGCGACTTCATGAAATCAAAAGTATATAGGCTGTACAATAATGGACCCAAAATAGTGCCCTGGGGCACCCCTGGTGTAATTGTAACTGTATCTGCTATTTAGATTTCATTTATCGTGTGTTATTAATTTATTACTCAATTATAAAAAAGGAAAGACGCATCACACCACCACCCCTTGTTTATAAAAAAAGGCATTGCAAATGTTTTACGGTACATTGGTCCAGGCAGGAACAATATAATGACATAAGACAAATAATTTTCTTGAAAAACTTGATCAAAATGTTTTAATGGCATACAGGAACCTTACTCCTAAATAGCAGTCATTAACTGCGCGACGTGATCTCGAAACTTTAATTCTCCATCAATGACCATCGTGTGCGTCGAGTAGGTGTTCTTAGAACTTCGATTATCTTTTGATAGCATAACGGAAGAAAAAATTCATGTATTTCGGACGTAATAAGCGTTTATGGTTTGGCGTGAAATCTAAGGTCTAAATAACAAATAACAAATCTTACCTGCAGCTGTGAAAATGTTGGGACCTAGAAATTGATCTAAAAGCGTGTACACTTCAGGTTTGTCAACTGCAAGAGGGCTAGACAGTACCTTCTCGTAGTATTCCGGTTTTGCAAGGACGTAGACTGTTTTAATGCTGAAGCGCACTCTGAATATATCTGGAAATGCGTCTTGAAACATACCCAACAGTTCTAAGCCCCTACCTAAAATAGAAGTTGATGCATTGGATTGATGTTCGTAAGCAATTTTTATTTTTCCACAGAATATTCTCCGAATTAGTGATAACGATGGTAAACAACACCTGATTTCTAATAAGAAACGAAAGGCGTATGACAGGTTCAAGGGATAGAAGCCATTACTAGCAGCAGTATTTATCACTTCCGTGGTGGGACATTCAGTGTGTATCATTTCACAGTCCAATCATCTTAGGGAGACATCCTACGAATTGCCTCCCATCCCCAGTGCTGCCATTTTCACTGATTCTCATCACCTTTAATATATATAGTGAATAACTAATAGAACTTATTCACCTCTGCCTATGATGGGTCACGAAGACCTGATTTTGACAAGTAAACTACATAATATTATTACTATATCACTATCTTATGAATTTCTTACCTGGGCATCTTATGTACGCATATATGCATTTGACAATAAGTTTCAATAGATTCCAGTGTCTTATCACGTACCAAATGCTAATGACGAAGGCAATGACTATGTACAAGAACATTGTCGTGGTTGATAGCTGGTACATGATAAACTAGCATAGCTGGGTTCAAACCAAATGGCAGGTCAACCTTGATGAGGTATATATAGCTGCTGATAACTTTCTGTTGCAGATTGAATGAATAACAACGGTAGCACGTAAATTTTTGAATGCACCTGCTTACATTGCGTGGTACGCGTATTATGATAAAGATGATAACTGCTGGCAACAGATTTGGTGAGAGTGGAAATATGAACGGAAAATTAACAAGGAAAAAATTCCTAACATACACAACAACCTGTCACTAATACTGTTTGAGAATGGTGGCCTATATTCACTTTGTAAAGACGCTGTTTTTTTTTGTTCCAACGAGACTCGGATTGGCTTAAGTTTTCGGCCTGTCTACATCTGCCATCTATCTGGTGATAATAATAATAATAATAATAATAATAATAATAATAATAATAATGTTTATTTCCAACAGGCAGATACACCCAATTACAGGAAATATCAATAAATATCAATTAAGCACAGTAAACAGATACATAGATAAGAATTATAGTATATAAGTAAGTAATAATCAACCATAATATTCTACCTTAGAAGTTCTTCAAGGTAAAGTTCAATAACGCGAGATTTAGTGACATTAAATATGTCGCAGTTACTGATACTATTGAATATTGTACACATCCTATGCACAGGAGACTTGGACAAGACATTGGTATGGCAGAAATCATAGTAAAATGTGGCACAATAACGGTTACCTAAGCGAGGAACATTAAAACGTATCTTACTTAGAATATATGGACAGCAAACCTGGACCACTCGAAAATAATAAATAATAATATTGCAAGAAGTGAGTGAAGTAGTGTGAAAAAGCTTCATTATAGTGTAATCAAGAAATGGATTGTATTTCGATTTCGTATGTTTTATTAATTAATTAATTAAGCAAAATGGGTAAGGGGCAGTCAAAGGAAGAAGTCATCTTTAACAACGCCGGCAACACAGCTTTTTGCTTAGGAGGCATATTCGATACAACTGCTCATGAATCAATAACCGTAATTATTGCTATACTGCTAGTCATTGCGCTATTAATATACAGGGTGCGGCAGAGAGGATGGACGGTTTTAAAAAAATCATAAAATAGTTAATTTTTACTCGAAAACAAATTTATTGATGGAATCAGGTTCACAAGGAAATAGCATTTGGGACAGTCAGGTGTGGAAAATCACATCAGGCATGTGGTGGCCGAAATCGTTGATGCAGTGCTGGAGGCGCTCTTGGAAGTTCGCGTAGACTCTCTCCAACATCGCTCTCTCAACTTGGGCGACTTCCACTCGAATTTCGCTTTTCAATTCGTCCAGAGTTCGGGGCTTGTTCGCGTATACTCTAGCCTTGAGGTATCCCCATAAGAAAAAATCGCATATTGATAAATCTGGGGACCGAGGAGGCCAATGAACATCGCCAAACCTGGAAATAAGGCGTCCAGGGAAGAGAGGGCGAATAACGTCCATGGATGCTCGGGCTGTGTGGGCGGTCGCCCCATCCTGCTGGAACCACACACGTCGGATTGGAACACGTCGCCGTCGTAATTCAGGGAGAAAGAAGTTGGTGGTCATGTCGACGTAGAGCTCCGAGTTCACGGTAACATCACGACCATTACCTTCTTCGAAGAAGTAAGGGCCAATGATGAGGTTCTCATTTTGATCGATCAGTGCTTCCATCTCACGTGCGAAGTTCATTCGTTGTGCATAATCTCCGGGCTGTAACTGTTGCACAATGGACAATTTGTAGGGGTGAAAGCGGAGATCCATATGCAAAATTGGCCTTACCGAACGATCACTAAGGCGAAGTGCTGCAGCATGTCGGACTGCGAAGAAAGACCTGTCGAACGCGTTCAACATTTTCAGGAGTTCGAACTGTTCGCGGCGCTCCTCTTGGTCTTCTGTTGATCAGTTCACCACGCCTGCGAAGTGATTCAACCCAACGAAGGATGGTGTTTCGAGAGGGAACAGCTTTATTCCGATGAATGTTGAAGTGGCGACGAAACTCACGCTGTACGACGATGACTGACTCATTATTTCGGACGAAACAATCATAGGCGAAACCGTCCAAGGCTCCATAACGACAACTGGTAAAATAATCTCACGAGTCAAACGGCACCCTCCCCACCTCTCTCGTAGACGGAGGCGGAGAGTACTACCCATCCCAAAAACGTCCGTCCTCTCTGCCGCACCCTGTACTTCTAGCGACGCATGTAAAACAAGTTGGAAAAAGTTGTACGAATCGAGATGAGGATAATTGAAGAGAGTGAAGGAAGAATTTGAGGAATTAGGTAAGGTGCTTAACCAATCGTAGACCATTTACCCCATGCCCAAAAGCGAGATTGTACAGGTCCGTATTTTCCTCAATCATTTTGGAATTATCTAACAAAATAAGTGACCATTTTTATTGAAAGAAGTACACATACTTTTAACAGTTCTTTATTCGCATGGAAGTACTTGAATCATCGTCCGAGTGGTTGATATTAATTATTACAGGTTCAATTTGAATATCGATCCCACATGTTTCGATTGTCGTGCGGATGTAATCTGTCACTCTATTGATAGCTTCATAAAACAAATTTTTCACGTCAGAAAATTTGAATGTCCTTTATTTGAAACCACATAGCCTTTTATATATGCCTAAATCATATCAATGGGAGTTAATTCTTAGTCTTATTTTGGTTTTTAGCCATTTCGTCAATAACATTAAGATTATACTTATATTTCTGCCGCCTATCCTAGATGTCTAAGTTCTGCTTTGGCCATATTTCCGTTGCAACTAGTGTCTTTTGATAACAGCCATTGTTGAATTTTTACCTTTATTGTGGACATTTTTGGAATTTTTTCTAGTCTAGTGTGGTATGCAGCACCATCAAGTACAATAACGGCATTGTCGTCAAGCTTTGGGAGCGTTTCTTCATACCACCGTTCACATGAACTCCCATCCGTTTCTTTATGGTAGTCGGTCGTTTTCTTTGACTCAAATGCCCATAGGGCAGCGGGGCACAAGGCCATCTTCACTGCCAATGTGACAGATACCATATCGTTTTCCTTTCCCTGGAAATAATTATTTCATATAGTATCCAAGAAAACTAATAACAATACAAGCAGAGTATCTAACAGATGTTGATTCCAAATCTACCAGATATAGCTGAGTTTAGTGTAGCTAAGTTTTCATCGTGGGCTCACAGATTCTGTCTACGTATCACCATTTTCACAACACAAATGACGTATTGGTTAGATACACGTACCTGACGGATTCTTAAGGCCAGCGGTAGTCCATCTGAGAAGGCTTGTCTTGTTGATTTAATTTTAGAGTCAGCGCATACTTTAGGTTTTGTATGTCTTGCATTTGTCCAGGTTTCATCAAAAAAAATAAATCTTCCTGTCCTGGTCGCGGTATTTCTTTATTGATTTTAAATAAAATTTGTTCTCCATAAAATAATCTCTTGGTTGTCCATCAAAATACTATTTCTGCCCCGTTTTCTATACTCAAAATGAAGTTCTTTGAGAAAACTATAGAATGTGGTCGTTTTGAAAGTAGGTAAGTCTTCATCACTATTAACCTCCTGTAATACTTCGTCTATAGTGGGAAGTCTGATGGCATGCCGATCAAAGTTATCAACTGTAACAGTTTCGTGTAATGAAGCCTCTTCGTGGAGCAAATTTTTTGTTTTTTTTATATTCTTTAACCCTTGACTCGCGAGCACGGTATCCTGTACCGCTATTCAAAATTCAACCTTCCATAACTGCGGTTAGAATGAACTCATGACCTTGAGCCCCCACCTAGCTTCAGTATATGGTGTGATGTCGAATTGGGAAACGCGGCGCTGTAATTAGTATTCTCAAAACCGATTTGCGGAAGTGATACTTTGACGCTTGGCGGTCCGTCATACCGATAGTCCGTATAGCGTAGAACTTTTGGATACACGTCCAGTCACGGAAATATTAGTTTTATAGATATAGATCTAATGTGTTTATGTGTGATTTTGAGTCGTGGTAAGTTTTTTATCTTATTTTTATTTGTTTACGTGAAAATGGCTTCGTATCTAAAACGAAAAAAACACAGTTCAGAAGGTAAAAATAAATGTAGTGCTTAGTACAAAATATTTTATGTGAATCAATATATATTTGTGCGTAAAAAAATAAATTTTCACAGAGTTGAGTATGAGAGCTGTATGCTAATATTTCGTATTCTGGAATATGTTATTATGGTATTTATTTTTTCAAAATTTGCGTTATTGAAAAAACATATTATATTCGAATCCAGTGATTTTGTAAATCAATTCCCAAAGTTTGTTTTTATTTCAGATCATGGCATCTGGCTTAGAGTGAGTAAAGTTTGGTGACAAAGACTATGAGCAAAAGCTCAGAAAATGGTTCGATGAATTGGAATCTGATGACGAACAAAAAGACTCTTCTGATTTAGAAGTTTCCAATGACGAAACATTGCAGGAAGATGAAATTATAGAAGATGACTGTTCTTCCACTTTTGAGCAAGAATATGTTTCTTCAGATCATGAAGAAGAGGACAGTGAATTAGAAATGGAGTCGGTAGACCAAGATTCGAATTCGAGCCGCGATAATGTGCAAAGTGATCATGTTACAGGTGTAGTCAGTTATAAAGGTGAAAACGGTTATATTTGGAAGTCCGAAGAACCCAATAAAGCTCTAAGAACGCCCAAACATAACATTATAATCAAATTGCCCAGTCTTAAACCAGCAGCAAGTCGTTTGGGGAACAGTCCTGATGTTGGTGAAATTTGGAACCTTTTATTCGACAACGAGACGCTAAATGAAATCGTATTGCGAACAAATGAAAAATTGGAAATAGTAAGATCTACCCACAAGAACTCTAATACCACAGATTACAAGAATACTAACCTTATTGAAATAAGAGCTTTTATCGGTCTTCTTATGCTAACATCTATATTCCGGTCGAACCATGAAAATATGCTATCATTATTTCCAAATACGTGTACAGGTCGTCCCATATTCAGAGCAGTAATTTCTTCCAAAAGATTTGAAAAGTTACTCAAATGTATAAGGTTTGATGATGCTTCCACTAGAGTCCAACGGTGTCAGGAGGACTCAGCAGCTGCAATATCGTTTCTATTCAACCGTTTCATCGATAAATCACAAAAATGCTTCAATTTGGGTCCAACAACATGCATCGACGAAATGTTAATCAGTTTCCGAGGGCGATGCTCTTTTAAAATGTACATGCCTAACAAACCCGCGAAAAATGGTCTCAAATTACAATGTCTGACGGATGCTCGAAGCTCTTATTTCTACAACGGTTATATCTACACAGGTAAATATAGTGATGGAAACGACGAAGAAAGGAAATTTGAGAAGCCAACACAGGCAGTTCTTCGGTTAGTCAAGCCTATCGAAAAAACAAACAGAAACATAACTGCTGATAATTGGTTTACCTCAATAGAGCTGCTTCATCAGTTACGCAAAAAAGGCTTAATTTACACAGGGACATTGACGAAGAACAAGCGGGAGATACCTCCAGAATTTTTACCATCGCCCAAACGACCAGTTGCATCTACGTTATATTGGTTCTCCAATGATGCATTCACACTAATATCGCACGTTCCAAAAAAAATAAAGCTGTATTATTAGGGTCTTCAGCCCATCATTCTAAAGCAACCGACACCGAAAACGCTCTTCCTGAAATAATATCATTTTACAATGCGACTAAAGGTGGCGTTGATACTCTCGACATGAATATATTCTTCCGGCCGTCGTACTCGTCGTTGGCCCTTAGCAATATTTTATAGACTGATAGATATATCTACCAATAATGCATTCGTTTTATTTCTTCATTACAAAGACATTACACCAAAATCCAGACGTCTGTTTATTGAAGAACTAGCGATGCAACTCGTAAAGCCTCATATAGCAAAATCCAAAATTGAACAAAGAACTTCAAGCTCTTATCAAAGGCGCTCTTGGAGTCGACGATCTTAGGAACGAACCATCAACGTCAAGAGACGAGCGGCTAGAAGTGAAGAAAACTTGGTTTTTGTGTCCATACCAGAAGAAGAGAAAGACTAGAATGTCATTATTATTCAGCTAATTTTTTTTGTTTTGCTTTATTTTGTAAAAAAATTAATAAAACCTTCAAATATTTACACTATGCTTTTAATTTTATATGTAAAAATCTAAAGCGGTATCGCATACCGATACTCGCGATTAACGTTAAATTAATCAACCTCGCGGGTTAAGGGTTAAGAATGTTGAAAACTGTCTTATGACATAAACAAAATATGTTCGCCACCCGTCTTTCAATATGATGAATTTTCATTTTAAGATTCCCCAAAAATTTCGCTCTTATAAACGTTAAGGAGAATTTCTTTTGCCTGAGTATTCAAATGTCCCTTTCTTTCACGTATTCGGGGAGGAAACATTACTGAAGAGGAAGCATGGCTGAATGAAGCATTGGGAGAAATATTCTCAGTTTCATATTGTGTGTCCGTAAACGACATGCTGACGTATAAACACACAACTACATTCCCTAATAGTGTTTTTGGCTGTAGTTGAAGTCAGTTTGGAATAATGAAATGATTTGTGGGTGTAGAGCTAGATGCGATTGATATGATGCCGAGCCACAGCGTCGTTGTATTCAAGCGCTGTGTCCACAATAACCGCCCTGATAGCGCGTCGTCAATGCCGCATTAAGCGTGCATATAGCATGCCTATAACGTTTTTAACGTCAAGCTTTAAGTAGTATAAGTTTTTCCGCACAACTTTGGATGGCGTAGCCAGAAAATCGGCTAAAATGATTTGTTCGGTTATGCCATACAACGACAGAGTAGGGGGTATATCATTGTGTAGTTTTGAGGGTTTCTCTTGAACCAGTAACGACTGACAAACAACGAAATCGGAATAGATTTTTTGCAGGAACTGACCTGTTTTGAAGCCAGACTGACAGAACTATTTATCAGTTGTAATACTTTTCTAGTGGTCCTAGGCCTAGTGCTTACTTCCTAATGGTATGAAGGACTAGATTATGCCAATTATCAAAAACACATGCTCACAGCTTTCTTTTGATTTATAATACATCTGATGTGCTTTGAGTTTATCCCTTGTGGCAAAATTGCTCCAAAGATGTCCGCTATATCCTGTACACAACCGCAACTGAACGTATCAACAGTTAGCTGTAGCAGCGGTATGTAAACATTATGGGGTCAGACTTCAGTTAGCAACTGTGCACCCCGTCTCGAAGCAAACGCTTTCACGCACCGTTCCGCTCGAATCTCGTTTTGCACCCCAATATGCGCATTTTCCGTCTCCGTCTTCTCCACGACGAAGACCGCTTGGGGGTGGTTTACATTGCCGCCTGGGCGCTACCCCCAACAGGCCCGCCGAATTCAGCATTCAGACGAAAGGGGGTGAGAGGAGGGCGTTCGGGAAATGTTACGGGCCTGCGATATAACCAGCTCGGACAAGCTGAAAGCTGCTTGCCAAATACACCAAATATCGAACTCAATTTACATGGCAAGTACAGCAGGTTTATTTTTGGTAGTCGCATTGTCGCTGAGGCAACGTTTGTGGTATTGAATGGCTGCATGAGAAGAATTAACGCTCATTAAGCTCAGAAAGCAAAAAGAAAAATAAGACGCTGGTTGTCTTCTTTGAACAGACGTTCAGAGGGGTAAGTTAATACGTCTATCTGTCCTGATCGACCTATTGCAGATACCATGCCTTTATATTCTCAAGACTGATATACTCAGCAACGCTCAGATATTATGCAAAGCAACTTGATTATTATGTTATAAATATGTTTCATCATCATGGTCCAAATATTGCATTGGAACTTTCTAAAACAAATATCTCGAAAACTCTTAGCTTCAGACACTTCTAACAAGTAAACCTTTTTTGTTGTGGAAATACGAGTAAATGAGGTTTTTCAGTCAGATGTTGTATACAGGGTAGCACAAAAAAGTTATGATAATTTATTTACCAAAATACTGCTGTAGGTGGCGCCCTATAGAAGTTTGGTCATAGAAAATAACAGATTCTTGTTTCGCATACTAGAAAACCTCCCTATACCGAGTTTTATGCCAAAATCTGCTATGCTTCTCAAGCAATAAGGAAAAATAGAAAACAAAATTTTATCTTTGACACCCTGTATCTCGCAATGTATCAATTTTTGGACTGAGGTACATTTAGCTCAATTCGCATATTTTCGTCTGTAGTATCTCCAGTTTCGAGACTTCCCAACCTTTCGCATATCTCGATATTGTTTTTTTTTGAGTATAGTGAACAAAAATTATTATTGTTATACAAGAAGTAGAATTACATGCGAACCTACTCAAAATTACTTATCACTCAATCGTGCGAAATATAAAAGTCGGTTGACAAACTGAAACATTGAAATTGGCAGGATACCTATGTGTTTTTTGCTTTTATTATACAGGGTTATCCAAATTAAGTGTCCACCATTAGTAACTTTGTTATTAGTGAAAATACAAAGTTGTTTGAATTAGCAAACTAGTAGCATTTTTAACGCTGGTAAAAATGAGAAATAAAAAAAACAATTGAGAGTCGTTATTTTGATTTTTTTCAGTAAAACAACATTTTTTTGAATGGAAACCCCTGTATATTATATTTTTTTCTGTTAAAGCATCAACTTTTAAACAAAAAAGCTTACAATAACTTTTCTCCTAGGTTACAAATTGTTGAAGTTATGGCCTCCAATCTGAAACAATTAAATTGTATCGACAAACTTTATTTTCAACATCAACTTATAATCTTACAAAATACAATAACAATTTTTTTTAAAGAAGATGCTCGAAAACACCACCTTGTTCTTCAATACATTTTTGGGCACGATTTTCAACTGCTCGAACTGTCTTAAGTATGGTCCTACCATCTATCTGGATTATCTTTTCCCTAACTGCAGTCTTTAACGCGTCAAGGTTATCGTACCTTCGCTTGTAAATTTGGTTCTTTAAGTAACCCCACAAGAAGTAATCAAGTGGGTTTAGATCTGGTGATCTGGGAGGCCACTGTATTGGGCCATTTGTTCCTATCCACTGATCATTAAAAGTAGTACTTAGAAAATGATAAGTACCTCTGGAGTTGTGGGCAGGTGCGCCATCCTGCTGAAAATGCAGATGATGTCTACTTATAAGATCCAATTCGTCCAAGAAATTAGTCAGAATTTCTGACATAAATTCCACATATCTTTCACCAGTTAGGGTTCCCTCATAAAAGAACGGGCCAACAATTTTTGAACCAATTATACCGCACCAAACGTTGAAACTGAAACGGACTTGTGGGCCTCTTGGATGTACTAACAAAAGATTTTCTCTTGACCAATAATGGTGGTTTTTTCTATTAAACATTCCAGAATTTGAAAAATATGATTCATCTGTCCATAAAAGGTAACGAAAGTTATTTACATTTTGGCGACAGAAGTTAAGATACCAATGGCAAAAAACAAGTCTTCTCTCTGGATCCCCTGCCAAAAGCGTTTGAACTGGTCGGTACTTATACGGAATAAATTTGTATTTTTTAAAATCCTTTGAACAGTACCATAACTGAAATTAGAGTCCTTGAGAATATCTGCTATTGAATTCTCACGATAAGCTTCAAAATATCCAATAACTGCAATTTCCGTGGCCTCGCTTATTATGAATTCTTTTTTTGCCCTTGTTTTAGCAAAAACATTTTCGTTGCCCCTAAATTTTCGATAAAGTCTCAGAAAATATCGTTCATACGGTTGAATGCGAGCGGGATATAATTCACTGTAGTATTCTCTTGCTCTCAAGGAGGATTTTCTGCACACTAAATAGCATTCTAACATATCACACTTTTCTTCATGGGAGAACATTTTTCTTTAAATTAATGACACAATAAAGCTTATAAACAAGTATTTACACTAATGTTTGACATTATTTGATTTTATCATTGTTTCCAAAGCCTTCTAGTTGCGAGTATGTCCAGTTTAACAATTTGTCGCTTATCTTAATGCTGTCAAATCGCGAACGCCATGTTGTTTTCATAGCCGTCTTAATATTATAATACTGCAAATAATTAAAAATATTTATCGTTATTTTGACTTTATTTTTGACTTTAGCGGAAAAGTCATTATGAACTTTTTTGTTTAAAATTTGATGCTTTAACAGAAAAAAATATAATATACAGGGGTTTCCATTTAAAAAAATGTTATTTTACTGAAAAAAATCAAAATAACGACTCTCAATTGTTTTTTTTATTTCTCATTTTTACCAGCGTTAAAAATGCTACTAGTTTGCTAATTTCCTGCTTCTTGGCTTAATCAGGCTCAAATGGATGCCCATCGGACACACCGAAGTGAAAACATCACAACATCACATCTGGATACGGGTGTAACCCGAAGGAAGACAAGAATGGAAAGGAAAATACAACTAGAAGCCACCAACCAGAGACAGCAGACACCTGTATCCAGATATAATGGGCATTTGTTTTCACTTCGGTGTTTTGATGAAGCCAATAAGCAGAAACGTCCTGTCGCTCGGGTTACCAATTCCCTATTTCCGCTCCTTCATTGCCAAAAACGCCACAATTGTCCTTTGTTTTAAATCTGCTTCCGCAAGTCTATTTATCTTTCCTTTTATTGTTTGCCTAGAGAGAGAAATGCTGCTTCTCAATCAAGCACTGCGGTGAATAATGATTATTTCTCGGACTTGTAGTGACAAAAAGTGCATTATCTACGATAAAATGACGGCCTGCTATATTTCCCGAAAGCCGCTAGCTAGTTTCTGTACCGGAGCGCAGTTACAACAAACCATTCCAAAACGTCTGCATGAAATTTAGCGAGAAACACGGGTCGTTTACAAATTAAAATACAAATTGAAGACTCGCTTCGGTGTATCGGGAAGACTTACTGAAATTAATCTGGCTGCTGGTGCTGGGAGGGCTGCTGTCGAGTTATGGCAAATATTGCGGAAAGGCGCACAGAAATGCGGGGATTACACATCTAATGCCGGTGGTTTTACTCGAGAACCGTTAATTTACATCTTTAATTGCTAGTCTTAGACAGAACCCTTATTTCTTGAGAATCGGTTATCAAGGTTCCGTATATTTGAGAACGTTCCGGTTTAAATGCACATTCAACTTAGCATGGGCCGCGCAGGACGCCTAGAGGGGCCGTGGCCCCCTGAAAATCAGGTTCTGCCCCCCCCCCACACACACAGAAAATTTCCTGCAGGCATCCAAGCAACTTCGGAGAATCCCATATGAGT